ACCACATAGGACAAAGCAAACGTGACAGATACAAACCTCGTGGAATTGCCTTCTCTATCAATCCTTGTTTTTCTCACTCTTTCTAGCCCCAGATGCCTAACCTTTTGAAGGAAAACACTGACAAGATCCCCGTTTTCTGTGGTCATCCATCGGCGCCGCCAGCCCCAGATGCTTTGCAGTGAGGCCGTGTGCTTTTCTGCAGATCAGCCCTTGAATGCTAAATAATTCTGCTCTGCACCCTCCTCTCTCTGTGGAGCTCAGGGAAATGGCAGCCAGAGCGATGAGTGGTTGGCATGGCAACAAGGAAAGGAAAATCTGCAACCTCTTGCTTTGTTAGGCTAGCTTGTTTATTTGCTGTGGGGGTGGTGCAGATGCCTTTCGTGGCTTCACAGAAGTGGTACTGTATTCTTTTGCTTTGTGTGCATTAATATAATATGATATACGACATGCCACAGTTTAAATGGGATGAGGACCCCTACTAGTAAACTTATCTAGGAATGGAGGCAGGGGACAATGGAGAGGTAAGAAAACGCAGGTTCAAATTTTCTAAGACTGAGAAGAGAAATAGAAGCTTAAAGTTATATTCAGCTTTTACATGTGTGATGACGAACTTTTTCTCCATCTTGTATTTTCATGCTTAAATTTGCAATTTCAGCAATGATAAACTTATATCTGAATGTGTTCATCCTTGGCTGCTTGAGATACCTGGCGGTTGAAGCTCAGGCTGAGGTATTAGCTCCACTGTAACAATGCAAAACCTTCACATATCTCCCTGCCTTGGCAAGGAGTGCACCTGGAGAAACTCCCCAAAATGTGGGGGAAACAAAGCATTCCTGGGGAACCAAGGGGTAGTTAACTGAAGAAATGCCCTTTAATCTTTACTATTACTCACAGTGGTAGCTGACTGGCTTTTGATCGTCATGAAGGCACTATATATTCTGAGTAGTGTTTCTTACTAGTGTTCTAAGCATTGTACCTTAGGATGGTCAAAATCATGAAAGCCTGATTTTAAATATTTCAATGTTTTAGCACCTATAAACTTTTCAGAATTGCCTCCTTTCTTGGTCCATTCATATTGAAACTGAGTTGAACCTTACAACTTTCTGTCATGCTTAAAAGTAAGATACATGGAAGTGGCAGTTCTCCAAGAGAAGGGTGGTCTCCTTTGGCTTTAACTGTTTACTGTTGCAACTGGCTGTGCGGTTCTGCATCTGGCAGTGTGAGGCCTGGAAAGCGCACTGGGCTCCACAGCAGGAGACCTGCAGGCTGGCTGTAGTCATGTGACCCTGCAAAGGCTACTAGTCCTTCAAAGACAAGGACTATGAAAGGTTGCTTTACTGGTTCCTTCCAGTTACCTTCATGTTATTATCTTGAACGGAACTCTAATATGAGTTTGGGCCCCACCCTCAGATAAGAAACTTACAGATAAAGCTCCTAATTTTCACTCAGTTTTGGAACTCTGGAGGGCAGGGGAGGCGGAGGGAGCACTCCTCTGCTTTGGAAAAGACAGGAAGAATTATTATCAACCTTTATAGTCTTATAGTTCCCGCTTTGCCAAACAATTTTAAAATGACTGCTTCAGTCTTACTACAGTAAAAACTTTCCTAAGTGCTAGCTTTTCAATGGCTTCTCATTTCTTTTTTCAAGCATCTGTGGTATGCCTTCTAAAGAAAGACTGTTGAATGAATAAATACAAGAGAAAATTTTAAGAGTATCAGTAGTTATGCTGTAAGAGGTGAGCAAATAATTCTATCTACCTTTCTGTGGATTAACTCTAAATTAGGGAAAGAAACAAAATGTAGAAAAATAAGCTGTAAAGAAATATAATTTAAAACAGTTTCCTTTCAGCCTTCCCTGCCCAACCCCACCCCGTCTCAGTGTATAAGTTCAGAGAGAAGCTGACTATGGGCTTGTATCTTTAAAGAATAAAACTTATTATAGTCCAGAAATGAAGGTGAACATTGAAAAGGGTGGGTGAAGAGAGAATGAGGTAGGGTTTCTGGCTGAAGTAAGCCCACTCTGATGAAGGGGGGAGGACAGAGATGGGATGACTGAGATTCACTCATCATGTGATCTTGTTTTTAGAGATGGATAAAAATAAACAACCCTGGGGAAAAGCTTTCTTTCTCAAAATGAAGGGAGCACTATGACAAAGAAGGAAAACAGAAGAAAGATCTTTGGATTCAGCCTGGAATGACCGAGACACAACATACAGCTGAGGACCTGCTGTCACCGGCCAATGCTGCATGTTAAATGCCCTGAGAGCATCCCTTACAGGGGAAAAATGCAAGATATGGATAGACGATTATAAGTGCATGATAAACAAGTGGGGTGGTATATAGCTCCTTGGTCCTCTTTTAAATAATCACCTCAAAATACAATGACAGCTCTTATCAGTAGTCTTCATCATCAAAGAGCATTTTTTAAAGACCATATTTGAGATTTAAGAACGCTTTTTTTACTAGGGTTGATTCTTGTTTGTAATTTCTGAAATAGTTTTATATAAACTATCAATAATAAAAGGTATTACTTAAGCTAAAGTTTGGAGAGAAATTTAATTGAACATTAACTTATTGTAGGTATAAGAAGACAATATTTTACATTTTCCTTTCCCACAGCTTTCCATGTATGAATATCTTACGGATTCAATGACCTGGCGCGCCCCTTCTGGAGGGCGTTAGTTGAAAATAACACCATAGTCTGCATTGGACACGTCACTCTGGTGACCCACAGCTGGCTTTTTACAGCTTTTGTCACCAGAAACATACACATAAAACTTTCATAATCAGTCTCCCAAAGGTAATTTAAGATTCATGCAATATATGTTGAGCTGAATTAAAAATTAACTCTGAATGGTCCAGAACCCATAATTTAAAAGAAACATGTCAGTCTCTTTTTAATTTATATTATTTCCTCAAGCTGGTGAGGACACACTGACCTGGCAAACAGATTTTTCTGATGCTCTAAAATACTTGATTAAGACTATTGAAAAATGAAATAGGGAGTAATGTTGGTTCCCCACTGCTTGACCAAACATGCTGTGGTGATATTTTTCTTGACTGCATTACAAGCCTCCGTAAGAGTCAGATGGAGTCGACTGGCGAGAGTCCAAGAGACAAAGGAAGACTTTTTAATACTTTTCAGCATTGATTTGAGGACTTTCTTTCTTCTTTTGCATTCATTCATTCATTCATTCATTCAACACACATTTGGAGAGTATTTGAGGTGTGCTGTTAGGTGTTGCAGGATATGATGCTGAGAAAAAATCCTGGGTCTATCACATTATCTGTTTCCATCCCCACAACCATTTTGTTCTAACATGTCCCCATCTCATGCCTCAATTCCTTCAAAATCTTCCTAGTTAGTAGTACTCCTGACATCTAAGTACCACCCTCTTCAAGCTGTATTATACTTAACTGTAGAAAAATAATACTGATCAAGAGTGTTGTCCAATTTGATACCACTACCACCACCAATAATAATATTACTAGTAATTAGTACATAATATTTCTTGAGCCATTCACTTTGTTCATTTCACTATCTCATTTAATCCTCATTGTAACCATGAAAAGTAAAAACAGTATTTTAATTTCATTCTTAGCCATGCTTTCTTACTAATGGGGTGTTGGGTACTATGCACTACAAAAGGAATGTAGTGTGATTTAAAGTTGAAACTGTGAATTATCTTGAGCTAATAGTTTATGTCACATTTGACAGACGTTGAGTATTGCTTTGCTTCCTTTGAGTATTTAAAATACTCTGCCACATCCCTGTTTGCTGTAATGCCTCAAGGCTGAACTGTGCACAATTTGAGAAATACGGCCTAAGTAGAAACAATGTCCTTTCAACTTAGTTTTTCCATGCTGCTCTTTTGGTGTTTAACATATTATGTTTTGTATTTGAATAATTGCACACAAAGGTCTTATGTCTGTTACTAGTTCATCCATTCCATGAAGTTTAGAGACCATTCCTTGCATATGCCCTGGCACAGAAGCTAACATACCTTACATAAAGAAAATGCTCAACACTAGTTTGTCAAATGAGTGGATTAAAAAAAAATTACACTGTGTACTTACATAATTTCTCTTCAGTAATTTAAAATGTTTCATATTTCCCCACTAAAATTTAAATAGATTTTTTACAGAGCATACAGTCAATAAGTGTTGCTAAGGATTGAGTGTAGAAAACCAGTCTTTGAATAAGTAAGGGATGACTCTGAAGAGACACAGCCTCTTACTGCTTGTAATTTACTTAGCATGTGTACAAATTACTGTGTTCAAATGCATTAAATTCTAAATTATAGAAAGAAGGAAAGTAATGGTAAAGAGTATTACAGTGCAAGTTAAGTGTTTCTCTAAGCCATTAATGCTATGTAATGATCATACTATGAATGACAATATTCTCAATGTTAGAATAAAGAACTCTTGGTAGAAATTATACTTTGAAAGAAGGGACTTAAATGTACATTATATTATGTTCTTAAATTAGCTGCCTATTACTTCTTACAAAGCTAGCTGGGGAAGTATGAAATGGTTCCTGTGTATGTGTGTATGTTTGTTTTCTTTCTTTTCTTTTTATTCCCTCTTTTTTCTTTTTAAAGACCAAGAGATGGACTTGACATTCCTTTCTGCCCAAAAAAGTAAATATGCTAATCAATCAATTGGATTTAGGTCCAATACGACTCGATAGTTATTTCTGAATGAATTAAAATGCTGATAATTATTAGCAAAACATACACACACACAGAGCCATTTGTCTATTAAAATTAAAGTGGTAAAAACTAAATGGGGAGATGAAATTGAGAATGCAACTAATTTGGGGGTAAGTTGGGCTAGTTTCCACGTTTTTTCTCTCCTTTTGGTGTCTATTTCCCCTGACGGACTGGAATTTCAGTCCTGGCACCAGTGAAACAGGATCAGCGCTATAAATCAACTTACTTTCAGACTAAACAGACTTCAAAGTGCAAAGTAAGTACTGGTGACAGAAGAGCCCTTGGTTACCTGCTGTTTCTCTGTCAGCTGAGGTCAGCTCTCCATTGATCCCATTCTCTTTGGCACTTGGATAGGTGCTCTGTGACCCGTGCTCTCCAAAGGCTCCCTCTTCGTCCTCCCTGTATGGGAATCCATTGGCGCTTCTGACCAGTCCCTCCCCTGCCCCGCCTTGATCCTTAATCTCAGGTGGATGTGGGTGTGCGGATGCCTCTGTTAGTTGAGCTGAGGTCCAGTGAGGCACCTTCGCTTCATCTTTCCGATCATCTGCCATTCTTTAATGCCCTGTGACCTCTCCTGTGATTGGAAAAATAAAAATAGTATCCATTAGTTTGGGTGAAATATGATCTGACATTAGCAGTATCAAGATAGGGCAAATTTATAGCAAGCCCAGTGGTTTACTATGACCAGAAGTAAACATGTCCAATAATCCACTTTCAAAATCAAGAGGTAACCCTTGTTAATGCCTTGTCTTATATAGATCATTTATGATATATCTGTTCTTTCAATGTAAGATCACTATCTATCTATATATCCTTTTTTTTTTAAGCTACTGTTTGGCATTTAAGGACACATTTTAGTTAACTTTCACTGATATCAAGTAGACCGTAGAGTCAAGTAATCCTTCAGTACAGGGAAAACGTGCAGTATGAGAAAACTGGGTAGAAGAAGGTGGGAAAAGGAATGGCTGAGGAGAAATGTTGGATTATGGAAAATTATTCCAAGTACTCTTTTAAAAACAAAACTCTTCCTGAAACCTAGAAAAGGCAGTAGTCAACATATTAGCCCTTTCAGTTTCAAAGTGTTCAGTTCAAATCAGAGGTGGGTATATTATTCCAGATGTTGTGTATTACAAGAAAGATAGTTTTGACTTAATATTTTTTAGTGAATTTCCCTGAACCTTATCTACAGATTAGGGGGGCATGATATTTTCTCTCAGTATAAATCTTACATAGAGAAAGGACATGAAGTATAGTATTAGAACTATGTCCTACTTTACGGTATTATTTCACAACTAAGTCAAATCAGATCTGGAAAAATTAAATCACTGACATATATCATATATCATATAGGTGTAAATTAAAGTTTGAGTAAGTTGTGGAGTAGGTGTTTGGCACAGCCTTCATTTATATGCTGATGCCACTCAGTTTAGAGGTGTAGTTGATGAGAGGTGATTCATGACTCGGTTTTGTAAAGCTGTTGGCAGCTATGTAGTCTCACTGAGCCTGCTGTCCTCACAGTGAGGATGGTAACATACGTGACAGCACAGGTGACTGTCTCTGATGGAAACTAAGAACACTTCCTCTTTTTCAAAAACAGTAACTCAAGCAAAAACCTCCAAACAAGAAAAAAAAATTGTATTAAAATAAATTTACTGCTGGCTACCAAGGTCTGTTTAGAGATAGTCACAAACCAATTAAGCTGTAAAGAAAGTATGTTTTCCTACCAGATTCCTAAAAAGCATCATCTGTTTTTTACTGACTTTGGATGTTATCCTCAGGTGCCCATTCTAGTTTTCTTTTCATACCAGGAAGAGCTAGAGAGTGAACTCATTTAAACTAACTTAATGAAAACACCAAACTTCTCCCAAAATTGCCTCCCATAAAGGTTCTATTGATTGTCCCTAAGAAGGTAGTTAAGCAGGATGTAAGTTTAGCTTTTAAAACATTGATTGAAGGGCTTGTGAATACATCAAGGAGCATTCCTGTATCACTGACAATGTGCAAAGAACCATTTGCACAGAAGGGTTTCCTCACTTGTAAAACGAGGACAATGACGCCTGAGTTATTGTTTGTTACAAAATTTAAGTAGAAAAAACTAAAGGGCTCAGCATAGTTCATGGCATGACCAATAAGTACTATAGGCTAGTGATGCTCAAAAAAGAAGTCACTACCTTTGTTATTGTTATTATAATTATACAAAGTCATCATGTCTGAAATACTGACACTTCCAATTTTTCTGGAATTGCTGGCATAAGAGACTGAAAACTTGGTAAGTGCAATAACAAGAGTTACTTGTGAATCTGTCCCCAGATATTGTGTAGGACTGAATGAATGTTCCAAGACAGACATAGCAAATGTCTGAGACTCATGAGAGGAGCGCATCCTCGGAATTAACTATCAAGCCTGTGTATCTACCTCTGAAAACTTCAATGCACCTTTCCTAGAGATGATTCTGCAGTGTTCAAAAGATGTTTTGTCATGTCTTCCAGTCAAGTATCAAAGGACCTAATTCAGGAGTCTAAGGATTATATTTCTTTTGAATTTTTGTGGCAACTTCACATGTCTGATGGACTGAAGAAACTATCTAGATTCAAATTGTGACCTCTAGATCACAATATTTTATTGATAGTGAGATTCTTGGCTCAGTATCCTTATGTTCACATGCTTTGATTACTTTTATTTTACCAGAATAACTTAATTTCCATATTCGTATATGGTTCAATCTATTCTGTGCACAGATTGAACACTTGTAAACAGAAAAAGTTTCACATAAAGAAGTATATGTGACAACATGGATGGACCTAGAGGGTATTATGCTCAGCAAAATAAGCCAGGAGGCAAAAGACAAATACCGTATGATTTCACTTACTTGTGGAATCTAAAAACAAAACAAAACAAAATCAATAAAATAGCAATAGACTTACAGACACTGAGAAGTGACTGGCAGTTACCATGGGGGAGGGGTTGGGGTGGGTTGAGAGGGCGAGGGGGATAAAGCACAAAAATTCTCAATCATAATATAAGTTGGTAATAGGGATAGTAGTACCTCATGGAGAATATAGTCAATGATTCTGTAAGATCTTCCTATACTGAGAGACAGTAACTGTACTAGAGGGGTGAGGATTTAATAATGTGGGTAAATGTTGAACCACTGCGTTGTATATCTGAAACTAATATAAGATTGTATCATCAACTATACGTCAATAAAAAAAAAATTAAAAAGAAGTACATGTTTTGTTAATGTTCCTTTTTTAAATTAATAGGTGTTTTATCTCTAGAACAGATATTTTGATTTACAGAAGAACTGAACAGATTGTAGAATTCCCATGTACCTGTATACACAGTTTCCCTAATGAACGTTTTACATTAATATGGCACCTTTGTTATAATCAATGAACAATATTAATATGTTATTATTAACTAAAGTCTGTAGTTCATTTAGATTACTTTAGTTTTTAACCTAAGGTCCTTTTATTCTATTCTGGAATCCCACCTAGGATACACTACATTTAGTTTTCATGTCTCTTTATGTTCCTCTTGGCTGTGAGAATCTCTCAGACTTTCCATGATTTAGGTCAATTGTAGGAAGCCACTCTACTGACATTCGTCTGTTTTTTTTTTCCCATAATTTCAGTTGCATTATGTGTATTTGGGAGGAAGACCACAAGTAGAAAAGTGCTCGAATCAGCTTGAGAAGTGCTGAGTTACCTGGGCATGTATACTATGAGCTTCCTAAGAGATTCTGATATGCTACTGGGCACAGGGATCTCAGAGAGGAACAGTGATGGGCAAAGCAGCCTGACCAGTTGGCCTCAGAACCCTTTTTTTGATGCCATGTTTATTAGCATTTCCAAAACGGCTTGGGAAAGAACTTAGGTTTTCACTTTAGCCCATGTTTAACTGTGGGAGTTCTAGCTATTGATGTTCAAGGTACATAAATAATTTGAGTACCCACAACTCCCAACTAAAATTGACAGTTTCCTTTCCAGCCCAAGGCTTCTGGAAACGATCTGTCAGTGACTAAAAATCCTCATCTTGAACCTAAAAACACAATGCTTAAACAAGGGAGAGTGTCAACTTATCAGCACCCACATAAAATATTAAGATAGTTTGTTTTCAAGAGACCAGTCTTTTAAAAAGTAAACCCTTTAGTATTCAATACTTTACAGTATGGCATTCTTTTTTAAATGAATCAATAAAAACTAATTTTGTAAGAAGAAAAACCTGGCTGGCCATGCTGATTTTCACTAATATCAAGGGTAAAAAGTAAAGTGAATTTATTACTTAAAATGCTTCAGCTGACTTTCTGATAAGACTACTCAGATAATACACTTTAAAATGTTTGATTAATCAGCTATCACTTTCTAATTTGCTGGGTTTTTGGAATTTACACAGTCTAATCGTCTATTAAGTTACAATCATTTTTAGAGATTTCAGGCTAGAATTGGCATTGCTCTGACAAAACTTCTGTTCTACTGAAAAGCTGCTGGAATCAAAGGAGACACTATTAGGCCACATTCATTTATAATCACAACATGATATTATTAAAATAGCAACCTTTTATAGTAAATTTCACTTAAATTCCTAATCAAAGTTTTGGGGTCACAGATTATCTCTACTCTTCAAAATGGTATTACAACATAATTAAAAGTGATCATGGTTTCCTTTAATTTCTTCTTCCTAATGTACAATATTATTTTTACCTAAATTTCTTTGAAAACCTTGAATATGGAATTAAAGAAGATAAGAAAGCTGAGATAAAGGCCAATCCCCTCCTAGTCTACACAAGGAAATTTGTAAGGTACCAGAAATTGTAACAGTCTACTCCTACTGTGTAAACGGAAAGACTCTTCTTCCCATAGTGCAAAGGATGATAGATTCTAACTGCTCCTAATTGCTGAATGGCTGGGGATCTGCTACACAACCTTCTGGTTTGATAGTTAAGCTGAAAAGCTACCTGAACTTTTCTCCCTTTTCCCTTCTCTAAAGCTGAACTTGATAATGTGACAAGAAAATTATAAAGTTAAAAAGAAATGTACTAAGTCCAAGATACTGCTTTACAGTTTATAATAAATTGCAATGGGGGTTTTAGCTGTTAGAACTGAACACAAATGCCAATATTAGTAGCGAGACAGTTACCTATAATGTAGATTTAAAAAAAAAATCTGAGTGATTCAAATTTCTACTTATGTCAGAATGAGATACTTCCCTTGGCTTTATCATGCCATGGTTATTATGCTGCATATTATAGGGTCCCAGTATACTTCTCAATTAAGATACACAGTTGCAAAAAGAAGCTAAAAGATCTTGTACACATTAGTTATGTACTTGAGTGGTGAGTTTCAATTTTTGCTACCCTTTGTTATTAAACAATTTCCTCTTGATATTTGAAAGTTCTGTAAGGACAGACTTACTCTTCTTTCATCAAAATTCCAGCTTTTCAAATTCCAGTTCTTAAAATTCTAGCTTTTTCCCTCAATAAACTTTAAATCTGGTTCTTTTAATCGAATGCTCCTGAGCAAGAACACTCATGTTTTTCATTTCACTGATGGATAATTATGAAAAATGTAAGGT